ATCAGTCCTTCCAAAAAGAGAAGCAAGCTGTTTATCTAATTCTGAAATCCCTTTAGCAGAATACATGAAATGAGTCCAAAACCTAAACTCCACTAATTGCCTGTTTCCCCTGATACTTGACCATTTCCAGTAGAGCTAGATAAATGCTAACTAAAAGACCCAAATCCATCCAGGACTTGGGATTTTGTCCCAATGCATTTAAAGGATATAAGAGGCAAGAGAGTTCCCAAGATGGGAATAATGCCAGAGTTCACCAAGTAACTGAAAATTTAGGAAATTCTTAGAAAAATAAACATTTTTAGTTTTTTAATTTAGTTAATTTCCATGGGAGAAGATTTTATGCCAGAAAGCACTTTTTGATGGAAGGAACCACACTTTCAAACTTGGTAATCTAGTCCTAGTGTATTAAAATGTAGCCAGTCTCCCATCTTCATTCAAGTAAGTACCCTGGAATCTAGATCTGGGAAAATTAATTAATTAGTTTCACACACTGTTTCATACTGCTACCCCTAAAGCAGTCACTGACTTTCTGCCTTCTGTATATATTAATATGTCACAATGTTAAAAATCACAACTTGTGGGCGCCTGGGTGGCTCAGCTGGTTAAGCAACTGCCTTTGGCTCAGTTCATGATCCTGGAGTCCCTGGATCAAGTCCCACATCGGGCTCCTTGCTCAGCAGGAAGTCTGCTTCTCCCTCTGGCCCTCCCCCCTCTCATGTGCCTCTCTCTCATTCTCTCTCTCAAATAAATAAAATCTTAAAAAAATAAAAATCACAACTTCTTCCCTACATAGAAGCATATCAATCACTTTTAATCCAACAAACCAAGTTGGACTTACGAGGCCAATAGCATAGCAGCAGTGCCCACAAGCTGAAGTTTTCCTCTCAACACAGACATCGATGAAAGGAACCTATCAATGTAGTTCACAGCCAAGTGCAGGGTCTCATTCTGTAGTTTATATTCTTCTCCTACTTCAACTAACCAGTCCACAAGGATAGCCCTCATACTGTTAGTGATGTCTGGCTGTTTCTTCATGTAACCCACTTTAGGCTTACATTTAACCTGTTGAGAAAGTTACTTACTATAATGTTAAAATTGCAATTAGATTATTCTACCATTAACAAAGATGCTACATACCAGAAACATAAGTATAACATTAGAATAATTCACTAGCAGTTAAAAAACTTAAAAACATCCTGTTTCATTTTGCCACAAGGAATAAACAACAGTGTAAGAACTGGATTCCAAGAGCTCTTACCTCCATTTCCCTAAGGTATGTGTGAATGTCCTCATGGTAGTCTGGGACTTCATTGACACTCAGTGGCTTTTCATCTTCTAATACAATTGATATGTCCATAGTATGTGGTGACTCTGGGAGAATATAAAAGTATGATTAAGTTCATTGTTTAATTTTCTAATTAATTTAATAGCCAAAACTGATAGCCCTTGTAAGGCGTCCCATACGAAAGCATTTCTTTCATCCAACTAAAAAGGGCTTCTTATGACAAAGTACATAGAATATTTCACTCTGGTTTTAGTACCTCTGTCCACTTGGTTTTAATCAACAAGAGAAAATACTGATAGGCCACTAAAAGGAAAGTGCATTTGAAGATGTATTATGTTAAAGTGTCACTCATATTCTATGAGAGAGAAGAGCAGATGGCACAGTGATCCTGTGAAGACAGAGTTAAAATCCAAGTTTTGTGATATTATGTAGTATTTACCCTAAGAGATTTTGCAGACCCCAAAGTCTGATAAATTCGAAGTACAATGTAGCAATAACTAGAAGGAGGGCTAACGTGTCAATGAAAATTAGGTTTGTTATGAGCCGTTCAAACAATTTGGCACTACAATCAACAAGTGTTTCATGTTTTGTAATTTTTTTTTTTTTTAAAGATTTTATTTATTTTTTTGACAGAGAGAGAGACATAGCGAGAGCAGGAACACAAGCAGGGGGAGTGGGAGAGGGAGAAGCAGGCTTCCCGCAGAGCAGGGAGCCCGATGTGGGACTCGATCCCAGGACCCTGGGATCATGACCTGAGCCGAAGGCAGACGCTTAACGACTGAGCCACCCAGGCGCCCTCATGTTTTGTAATTTTAAATTACCTTTTGAGGCAAAGAATATCATTCATTACTCTTTTCACTTCAAGGTTCATCTTGAGGTTAAAACTTGTTACAAATTTTCAATAAAAATACAAAAATTACTTTATTTCCAAAGGATTTTCCTGCTATTCCCAGACTTCTCATAATAGAACTAAAACCTAAATGAGATTGAACTTAATGAGTTGTCAGTGACTCGACAGACCTATGGTAAAGAAGTTGCACAAACTGTTGGCAGAGCTGTCTTTATAGCAGCTACTTTATTTTATATGTGGTTAACTGCAAACAGCCATGATTCAACTCTTCATTCACAGGACAGTGTCCCTTTCTGGTATCAGACTAGATTTACAGAAAATTTTAAAGCTGTAAGAGATGTTAGATATCACAATATTGAAAGCTGTGTCCTATTCAAATACTATGAAGTGGTATGTACAAAGTGAATTTTATCAGTACAATTGAAATCTATTCTCCCAAGCAAGCAAAGTGTTTGAGATCTAATTAAACTGATGTTACCGGCAGTATACAAGGAAGAACACCCAATTAGGATTTATAGGTCACTAGGTCAACGTATTAGCTGTGAGAGCTGAGATAAGTCACACACTTTCTAAACTTTGTTACATTAAACCAATTTCATTATGTAGTAAGGATCAGGTACGATAATGTCTTAAAATGCAAAATATTAATTCAGGCTATTTAATAATTATGATTACATTGATTTGATACAAATCTTACAAGTTTTGATACAAAACTTACCAAAACTACCATCCATTGGATAATCAAGAGGTACCAGTGGTTTTCTTGGTCCAGGTAAAGTAATAGCTGAATTAAAAGCCAGGACATTTTCACGTTCGGTTTTTTTAGATTCAGGTGGCCTCTTTTGAGTCTCTTCTTCTGCTTCATCCACATGAATGGTAAATGCAGGCTGTTTACTGTTTGTTTTCCAGGGAGGAATAGTGACATGTTCATCATTTATAGGAAGATCCTTAAGAGGTGCAACCTAAAAAGAAATGAATATCTGGCTTTGAGCCTATTAAATGGAGTTTTGCTTTCTTCCCCTTATGGGTCTCAGTTTCTGCTTTCATTCCCAAATACTCTCAGGAAATAAAACTATCTGGGACAAAATCCAGGCAACAAAGTTTGAGTGGCTGAAGAAAGGGATGTTCAAATTCCTTACAGGCATTCCTACATAAGTTATAGAAAGAATCACACTAAGTGAAAGTATGTAAAACTAATCAAGGCTACAAGATGAGTGGAGTGGCAGGCTGAAAGATGACAAGTTTAGGAGAGCAGGCAAAGAGGTGTTGGTTCACCACTTTCGCCCCAGGGTGGAGCAACAGAGCAAATCCGGTAAAATGGCGGAATTTACTAAAAGCAAAGTATTTTTTATACCCTTTCCTAAAATAGAGGTAATCTTAACCATATGGAAAGCAGGAAGCGGGTCCAGATCCTAGGGCAGTGCCTAAGGTTTAAAGCGGCGAGAAAAGCGCGGACACACGTAGGGCTTGGTTTGACCTCATTATCTATAGAAAAATATCCCCAATAAAGAGCAGACAAGCAGCAAAACACAGCGCTGGCGAAGAGAGCAATGGGAGAGAAGCTGTAAGTGGCATCCCACATGCCAGAAAACTAGGGATCAAGGGGACTCCAGACCCAGGCCTCCCTTTAAAAAGCTCGGAAGATGCTTTCTCTCCACGCTCCTCGGCCTGCTAAACCTCGTGCAAAACTCCCGCTCGGCCCTCCCTCCCACAGATATCGCTCATCTCTTTACCCGTCGTGTCTTGGGCCTCTGCTGCGGCGCTGGAACGCGCGGGTTCCCGGCCTTCAGTACCGCCAGCCCCGCCCGGGTCCGGGGCTGCTGGGCGGGCGCCGCCTTCTCGGGGTTGATGTTCTCCTGGTCCTCTTGGAGCGCCGTATGCTGCAATGTTAGCAGCGACGAGCCCGCCTCGCGGGCCGCAGGCCCGGGCTCGGAGCTGCCCAACATCACTGCTCCCGGGGTCGCGGCGGGATCAGCCTGCGGCGCCAAGCAGCGTGTACTCCGTCCCGCCGACACCGCCGAGAAACGCTCCAGCCGTAACCAGCCGCCGCAGCCCGGGCCAGCCTGCTCGCTTGGGATCGCGCAGTTCCGAAGAGGTTGCGAAAGGCGTAGGTAGGAACTGCCGGGCGTGGAAGGCTAAAGAAGCCCCCGAGATGTAGCGAGCAGCCCGCCGGAGCGGCGGCTGTTCGTGCAGTTCAAGTATCCCGCGACTATTGAAATGGGCCAATGGGAAGGGCCGAGGCCCGTGACGTCACTCGAGGCGACACAGTCGCAGGCGAATGAAGGCGGCGGCGAAGGCCACGGAGCAGGGGCGGAGAAACGCCGAACGGCGGCGGGAGGAAAAACGCCTGCGCCGGCCGAAGAGGCGGGGCCTGAGTTTCTGGCGACTAAACTGGGCCCCTAGGATTCCTGGGTACTGGGCAAGGGCCGTCTCCAGGATAAGCTGAGTTAAACTTCAGCAATTGTTAGTGTGCCGCCCTAGCCTAACGTTAGCCCTGGGACCCTCAGTTAGCTTAACTGGTTTCCAAAGCTCTAAAAGCTGAGCCACTAACTGGCCTGATAGTCTTGCTCCGGTTATTCAAGGTCTCTGATTCTCAGTTTTCTTATCTATTAATTGGGAGTAAAAATATCTTCATGTCATATGGTTGTCCTAATTATATAATGTGCATAAATCATTAACACGCTGCTCACGCAGTAACTGATACTCAAGTGCCAGACTATAATGTCATCTTAGCATTTAGGTGTCTTCAGTCATGCCTTTGAATTTACCTAATGAAGATGCAATTAGGGAAGGTGCCACCTTGAACCACTGTTGATACGTATAGAGACATTATCTATCTATCTATCTATCTATCTAAAACAAAAAGTACTATAAGAAATTAAACTAGACAGTCACTGATTTTGATGCATCTTTCCCCAAGCTGTGGCAGCCAACAAAAAGCACCCAGTGAAATTCTAGTGACCTAAATAAAATTATTTGTTCCATTTAGCAATGAAGGTTGTTTAAATATAATAAAAACAATATGACCTTATTAAAATAAAACTCTCAGTGATATGTGCTTTTAACAAATTTTCAAATTTAATATACAAGGCTTGCATATAATAAATATAATGGTAGATAATTAAGAAACATTGTTTTTGACAAATTCATGAGTGTGCCCTTCTTGAAAACATAATTATATAATCTTTATGTCATTTTAAAACAACCTTTAAATACAATATTACCCTGAATATGAAAAAACATAAATTAAGATTAATGAATAAAACTTCTGTAGCTTTAAAGTCTTATTTCCCTCCATATATGATAAAATGGAAATTAGTGGGTACTAGTGCAGGAAAATCTAAGGAGCCATCACTATTTCTGCACTCTTCACATGTAGTACACTTGTATAGTTTTACTGGTTACAGGGACAGCAAGTGAAGATCCCTTCAATCTGTGCAAGCTCTGCTCATTTCCCTGGCCACAATTTATAGCACTGAACCAACTCAAGCATTTCACAAACTGAGCATGGTTCACAAAACATTACCTAGCAAGAGTGAAATCAGTTGCAAATCAATCTCAACTCCGAGAAAAAATAATTGGTAAGTTATTTCCACTTGTTAACAACGTATACAGTAACCAGGACACAAACCAGGCACCAGAACTTGGGATCTGGTCCCAGCTTTACAAAATAATAACAGCTTGTCCTCTTAATCACTTAACCTCACAGAGAATCAGTTTTCCTATATGACTTGACAAAATAACAATATATATTGTGAAGATTAGATGAAGTAATGAATGTAAATACATTTTTGAAAACTGTAAAGTAGTTTATACATGTGGTATAGCTTGTTAAATATTTGAATATATTTTTAATTTTCCAAATATTTCTCAATTTAAAAGTTGAAACATCCACTTGCAAAAAATTCATTAAAATTCCTTATCATCATTCCACTAATGTTTTAAAATAAAAACTCTATTTTTAAAAAGCTCCAATTCTCAAAATAGAAGCATTACTAAAAGAAGTCACATCTTAAATATTTTTAGACGTTATTAAAAAGCATTTGAAATAAAAGTATGTACAGTTAGCTTGTGCCATAATTCTGTTTTAACATATTTCGTTTAAAAAGACTCCTTTGGAACTTTACCTTGTTTGGAACTTTACCTTGTTTATAGTTCATGCAGCATCAAAGAAAGCAATCAATGCATTTTGGTCATAACTGTCCAGAATCTCCAGTAAAAGAGGTACTTTGGTTTTTACATTGGTGCCTTTGAACTTGAACTTATCTATGAAAAGATCAGTGATCATGCCTATAAAGAAAAATGTTAATTTCCTGTCATTAATTAGTTCTAATAACACAGTACTTAATGAAAGTGAGTGATTACTTGAGAATCTATTTCTAAGCACTCATCACTGCATTATTTAATATATAAGCCTAAGGGTATTGATACTTTTTTTTAAAGATTTTATTTATTTAGTTGAGAGAGAGAGAGAGCACAGAGGGAGAGTGTGAGGGAGAAGCAGACTCCCCCCAGGTGAGGAGGGAGCCCGATGCAGGACTGGATCCCAGGATCCTGAGATCATGACCTGAGCCAAAGACAGATGCTTAACCAACAGCCACCAGGCACTCCAACAGATTCTATTCTTAAGTTCTATTTGAATTAAAATATTCCATCAATATGTTGACCATTCTTGGGGTTTATCCAAGACATGTTTCAGAATTTTTCATATTTTAGAGAGATAATAAAAGGGATATACCAAATATAGCATAATATCCAAGGGGAATGAGTTTCTGCAACAAAATATATGGGTGAATATTCACACTAAGTGGAATAAAAATGACTATAAATAACCTCATGTCAGTTTAAGTGAAATTTTGTCATTAAATTATTAATTCAGATCAAGTCAAATTTGCTGCCAAATGATTTATTAAAGTGTTAGTTTTTAAAGCTTTCTGGATTTTGGAACTGGTAATAATAGAAAACCACCCATCTTCTAAGTTATTATAAGGATAAAAGATCATGTGTTTGCCATATAGTAAATATTAAGATATTAGATATTATTGTTATAGTTTGTGAGCAAGTCCCTGGGTATTAAAATAAATTCATTAGGCAGGTTCAAAGATCAATGTGGATTGATGATACCAACTATGCCAAAAAGATTTGGCATAGTGCAAAAAGCAAGCATTTTGGGGTGAGGAAGTTCTAGTGCAGGCTTTACCACTACCAATGTGACAACAAATTCTTTAGTGTCAGATTTCAGTTAAAAAAATGTGAAAAATGAAGATAACACCATCTACTTTGCAGAGCTATTGTAAGGATTAAATATCTGATTAATGAAGATGTTATAAAGAAATAGGAAATAAATAAGCTTAGCTTATATAAAGATCACACACACAAAAATATTTTCCTTAAGCTGTTCCATCCTTCCTCTTTCTCTCCCTTCCTGCATATCTCCCTCTTGCTCTCAATGTTTTTCAAGACAATTTGTGAAACACCCAACTTGTCACCACCAAAGCAAAACAACTTTTGCTGTAAATTCACAGCACATACATATCTTTATTATATTTTGCCTAAAAAATATTAAATGCTGCCTTTTGATATTTCACAATATCAACAGAACCTAAAATTATTTGTGTGAAATATGGCCTACATTTTATTGCTTCATAGGTTATATTCATTTCACACCAGGTTTCTTCATATAGAGATTAATTTACTGCATTACACTTATTTCACTTAATTTTTACTTTCATTTTTTTCTAGATTTTTTTTTTTTTTTAATTTATTTGTCAGAGAGAGAGAGAGCACAAGTAGGGGGAGTGGCAGGCAGAGGGAGAGGGAGAAGCAGGCTCCCCGCTGAGCAGGGAGCCCAATGCAGGACTCCATCCGACTCTGGGATCATGACCTGATCCGAAGGCAGATGCTTAATGGACTGAGCCACCCAGGCTTCCCTTTCCTTTCATTTTTTCAAGTAAAAATATTAAATATTAAAACAAATTTTACAAAATATTTGATGCAATAAATTGGTTGTCACTGGTTCATGATCGCTGTAATCTTCGCTTATCTTTCTGCCTAGCTTCTCTCACGAGATTCTTCACAAATAGCCAGTAGAAAAGAAATACAGCAAGGGGCCGCCTGGGTGGCTCAGTTGTTAAGCGTCTGCCTTTGGCTCAGGTCATGATCCCAGGGTCCTGGGATCGAGTCCCACATCGGGCTCCCTACTCGGCGGCAAGCCTGCTTCTCCCACTCCCCCTGCTTGCGTTCACTCTCTCACTGTCTCTCTCTCTGTTGAAAAATAAAAATAAAATCTAAAAAAAAAAAAAAAGAAATACGGCAAGGTTTTCTAGAACAGTCCACTAACCATACAGTCTTTCAAGATGTGCAGGTTGCTTTTTGTATTCTTCCTGTAGGTGATCTGCCTCTTCTAGAATACAGCGATATTCTGGTATCAGAAAATTTGTATTTCCCTCATGAACCTGCAACTCCTTATTTAAAATTAAAAAGAGAAGGACTTTAATAATCAAAATCCAATCCAGTGTAACTTTAAAGTCTTTACAATTTTAGAAATCCCATCACAATAAAGTAATGATCATGAGTCCATGAAATGTATACTTACTTTTAAAGCATCAATTAATTGCACTTTCTTAGCCAAAAGCAACTGGTACTCCAGCTTTGGGTGGATTAGCTTTAAAGTGTGTTTGACTGATACTTCATTTATCTCTAGAAGGAGGTAAGTCAAGCACAATTAGCTAAGTCACTTTGATCAGAAATATTCTTATTGTAACAATAACCAAAAAACAATACCCCATAAAGAATGATTTATTTTTCTTCTTTTTTTTTTTTTTACCGTATGATATGTTGAGGTTAATCTTCCTTTTGGTAGCTTCTTTAGAGAGCACATCTTTTAGGATGGATATAGTAGAAATGTTGTCAGATTTAAAAACTCCTTCTCCTTTTCTATAAAATTAATATATTTTTAAAAGAACAGCATTAGAAGAAAATACATAAATAGGTCCAGTAAATACATATTTTGTGACTAGTACCTGGTGTTTAGAATACATTTGATTTTAGATCTCTTTCTATACATTAATATAAAATACATTGTTTATATAAAACATATTTAAATGTGTAACCTTTTACTATTATATAAATTCAAGTTCTGAACATAATTGTGAAACTAAACAAAAGATGTTAGATATATGCCTCCTAAACATATAACAATTTATATAAATCCTTCATTAAAGCATCTTTTTTCTTCACTTTCACCAATAAAATTTCTAACAGCTAACTCCATATGTATATAAAATACTTTTAGAATTGCTTATTTACATGTAAGTATGTTTTTCTTTGATGTAATCACATAAATTACAACATGACTACATTCTTTATTCTCAAAAGAAAGTTGATATTAAGCCTAAGAATGACAGCTTCTGTTCTTCCATGCCCATCATCCATTGCCACTTCTTATGGACACAGGACCTGTCATCTTCTTTATAGAACCACTTCTTTCTCTTACCCTTCTCAATCCATATACAGTTGATCCTTGAACAATGTGGGGGGTGGGGTGCCAAACCCCTGTAGTCAAAAATCAGCATATAACTTTGGACCTCCCCCAAACTAGTAATACTCTAGTAAACAGTCGATCAACACATATTTTGTGTAAGTATTATATACTATATTTTTATAGTAAAGTTAGAGAAAAGAAAATGTTATTAAGAAAATCATAAGAGAAAATAACATTTACAGTACCGTATTTATTTAAAAAATCTACATACAAGTGGTCCCATGCAGTTTAAACCTGTGTTGCTTAAGGGTCAACTGTAGTTTCACTGGCACTGGCCTCAAGCCCATTTGTGGGACTTTAAGAGAAAGCATTTAGCAGTGTATATTCCATCCTCCTGACCACAATGGTTCACGGCTCTATAATGACACTCAATCCTGGGATTTTATTGGAACCAGTGGGAAAGAGAGGGTCTATGATACCTGAAAAGATAGAAAACTGGACAGAACTGCTGGTGGCCACTATGGTACTTAATAAGAAAGTCAAAAAAAAGACAAGAACGGAGCTGAGCAATGGAAAGAGATAGTCTTATTGTTTTATTTTTTTAATTTAAATTCAGTTAATTAACATACAATGTATTATTTGTTTCCAGGGTACAGGTCTGTGATTCATCAGTCTTATATAATACCCAGTGCTCATTACAACACATACTTTCCCCAATGTCCACCACCCAGGTACCCCATCCCTCCACCCCTCTCCCCTCCAGCAACCCTCAGTTTATTTCCTCTGATTAAGAGTCTCTTACGGTTTGTCTCCCTCTCTGGTTTTGTCTTGTTTTATTTTGGAAAGGGATAGTCTTCGTTGTGCCTGAGGCAGATTACTACTGGACTTTTAAATTATATGAGCTGATAAATTCCTGTTATTCAGTATGTTGGTCTGCTTCTATTTGGTTCCTTCTTATGATAACCAAAAGTTTCCTAATTAACATATATACCATCTTTCATATATTAAATGCGATCTTTTCATTTAGTTTTCACACACACTAATAGTTTATATTAACTAGCTGTAGACAAATGCTAATTCTTTTTTTCTAGGAAGATGATTCATATATATTATTTTGATTCCAATTATGTTTTAGAAATCATGATATTTTCACTAGTCTTTAATTCTAACTGATGATGTTTAACATTAAACACACAGTACCTAGCACTGTGGAATGATTCACATGGTTTATCTTCTTTTAATCATCACAGCTCAATGAAGTGCTATTATTGCCATCCCTCAGAAAAGAAAACTGAAGCTCAGAGAGTTAAATAGTCCAGATAGGGCAAATAGCTGGTAAGTCACAGAGCCATGATCAAACCTACGTATGTCTGCCTCCAAAGCGCACTTTCTGCATATATGTGTATTTTATTCAGGCACCCTAAAAACATTTATTAAGCACCACTATGTTCAAAGCCATGCAGTAGGTACTTGGAGGAAACATATGAAGATAATTAAGAAACTGACTCTGCCCATGAGGAGCTTAAAATCTAATTTGAAGAGACAAGCTTACATAAAAATTACCATATACTTCAAATAACAATAAATAACTTACGACAGGTAGGAAGGCTTCAAAATGTAGCTATTAAGTTGAGCCTTGGAGGATAAGTAGAGTTTTGATTTTTTTTTAAGGGATTTTATAGCTTTATTTTTTTTAAGATTTTTTAAAAATTTATTTATTTTTGAGAGAGAGAGAGAACGCACAAGCAGGGGGAGCGGCAAACAGAGGGAGAAGCAGGCTCCCTGCTGAGCGAGGAGCCCGATGCAGGACTCTTAATCATAGCAGACAATTCAACATGCCCCTGGCATATTCTGTATTATTATAATAGTATACCTTTGCTCTTTCCCATTCTGTGTCTTTAAATATTCTTTCCTTAACAATCAAAGCTCAGGTCATGATCTCGATGCTGGGATCATGATCTGAGCCAAAGGCAGATGCTTAATGGACTGAGCCACCCAGGCATCCCTATAGTTTTGATTGTTAAGGAAAGACTATTTAAAGACACAGAATGGGAAAGAGCAAAGGTATGCTATTATAATAATACAGAATATGCCAGGGGCATGTTGAATTGTCTGCTATGATTAAAGTGTGAGGTTTACTCTTGATGAAGGATAGTTGGAAGGCAGGCAGGCAGGGGCAAGTTCCCCCCACCCCAAGAGGAAACCACCCTTAAAAAGAGTTTACACCACCCTGGAAGGAGCCCTCCACCCTTTCCCATATGATAGGTGACAAAAACCTGACTGGATGACAGGTACAGGGAGCATTAATCAGATTAAAACAGCCAGTCTCGAGAAGCCCATAAAAACCCCTAGACTTAGAAACTCTGGTGGCAACCCTTTTGGATCCCCTCCCTCCTTGGGAGCTTTAGTACTATCACTTCGCAATCACTCAATAAACTTCCGCTTTGTTTCCCACCACTCTTGGTGTGGTCTACCTCTTCCATTCTTTGAAGCAGTGTGACCAAGAACCATGGGCACCCACAGAGAAAAAAATCCTGTAACATTTATGGGAGCTCATCTGGGGTCTTCACCATCATTAAGGACAACTAACCGTGAGTAGTGGTCAGTAAGTCTCTCTCTCTATTCCCCCTCCATTTTGTTTGTTGAAACAATGGGCACCCATCAGCCATGTAAGAGCGATTAGCACAACTCCCATTCTCAAGTCTCAGGTGACAGGCTCTCTGAGCTCTTTTCCGACTGATCCCCCAACAGAAGTTGGGAATGTTGGTTTGGTAAGGACTCAGAACTCCTCTCGGGGCAGATCACCGATGTGAGGGACCTAGGGAAAACCTAGCAGCAATTGAAGGGCCTGACCAAGGCTACCCTTTGGACACCCAAAGGCTCTCACAGGGACCTAGTTCCTTACTTGTCCATCTAGGCATCCAGACAGAAACCTCTCTACTACTTTCTCAGCTGATTCCTCCCCTAGGAGAATGAGTGGGAAAGCCCAGGATGGTCCCGTAGACATTCCCTTGTTAGTGGTTTGGGTGGCCTCCAAGGGATCTCACTCTGTTCCCTGTTACAGTGAGAAACTCTCTCCTGTTTCTGACTCCTCCTATCCTGGGCATTACTAGGAAACCCCTCAGACTGGCTACACCACCTTTGTGAAGGAATGGCCAAGCAGAGCAAAAGAACTAAGATCTAAGGGATCTCCCAACTTTTCAGTTCCATTGGGGCTTATCCCAATGGATAGGTGGATTTCCTCTCTCTGGTGCCCTATCTTGTCCCTCCATGTCTGCCAGACAGAACAGTTCTACTAAAAGATGATTAAGTGGCTATGCCAGACAGAAGAACTCTACTAAAAGAAGTCTAGTGTATCCATTGACTTCTAAGGGAGTCTTAAGGGTAGGGAAACCAGGGTCACTCTCTGGAGGTAGGAGAGTGACTAGGTAAGTGCAACTACTCCCAATACCTCGCAGAGAGGACAGTGGCTCTGGCTATCAGTCGCCTGAGTAGCTAAAGCCACACATCAAGAAAAGATGAGGGGGGCGCCTGGGTGGCTCAGTCGTTAGGCGTCTGCCTTCGGCTCAGGTCATGATCCCAGGGTCCTGGGATCGAGTCCCGCATCGGGCTCCCTGCTCGGCGGGAGGCCTGCTTCTCGCTCTCCCACTCCCCCTGCTTGTGTTCCTGCTCTCACTATCTCTCTCTCTGTCAAATAAATAAATAAAAAATCTTTAAAAAAAAAAAAAAAAAAGAAAAGATGAGGAGGAACTGAGGTGGGGGAAGCCTTTTCCTCTCTTCCCAAGTCTCCCTGATAAACTATAAGAAACTGAGGTAGGGATGCCTTTTCTCTTTTCTTGTAGATGGGTAATTCCCTGACCAAGACCCTTATTCCTTTAGAGACCCTTCCTGGCATTATAGGCTACAGGAAGAGTATCAGACCTATAAATAGCTTAATATCATTTACTTGGATGCCTTCCTGGTTTTAACTGGGGGAAGGCAACTCATTTTCTTTTGTTCTGGGGCATGGCCATGATACAAGTTGGAAGATGAGACATGGCCATCTGAGGGACAATGCCTTCCAGGTTTTAACCAGGAAAAAGGTTAACCAGGAAAAAGGTGGCTCTTTTTCTTCTGATCTTAGCAATGTAGGATTGATCCCAGTCTCCTGACTGCTCTTTTCTGCAGGAGGAACAAAGGAACACCACATCCACATCAAAAGTAGATAGGCAAATGGAGTCCGCAGGGTAATCTCCATGCCTGGCTCCATCCTTCCTAAGGTAAGATTGGGTCTCCTTACGTGTCCCACCCTATCCTGGAACCCCTGCAGGTGCTGAGGGCTTTACACTTTACAAGACTAGGTAGTGCTCAAAGGGGGACCGAGGGGAGGTGCCACTATAAGACCTGAGACGAAGGTGGACCTCAAAGTTTTCCAAACTTGGATGTAATGTTTCTGTTAAGTCAGACCCTCTCCAAAGCAGAAAAAACATCAGGTTCTGGCCACTGCTGAAAGATATGGGGATCAAAGGACAGGTTAAGTTTCCAACTGGAGCCCAGGCTGTACCTCCTCAAGACCCCAATTAGGATCCTAACGATCCCCTTGGAAACTGGTATCGCCATCACTTCCAAGCCCACATCACAGAGGGATTGAGCAGTACATGGGGGCTTCTTCCTCATTCATTTACCAGGGTTAATGGCTATAATTGGAGCCAACTGTGGTTAGTCTACATCAGGACCGAGACTTTAAGGAATATCCCCAAGCAGGTGCTGAAACTCCCTTTGTTTTGGGGAAATTCCCTGTCTTCTCCAGCCTGACATGGACTGCAAATTTCCACTTTGGTGGAAAAAACATCTTTTTTTCAGAGTTTGCTCCTCTGTTGAGCTGACAAGGTTTAGAGCAGGGAACAATTCTATCTAGGTTTCCTGAAGGTCAAATAAGCTTGTGTTAAAATGGCAGTTAATCTTGTATATCTTAAAGTTTTCATGGGTAATTGTTAAGAAAGTTTTGCTTGAATGATAAATAGGATTACATCTAGGTCTTTTCCAAATAGGATAAAGTACTAAAGCATTGATTACTGGACATAGGTTTGTGCTTTTAAGGATATTTGGGTCTGTTGCTAAATAATGGTGGTTAATCTTAAAGGTTTCATGGGTAATTGTTAGGATACCTTTCAGAGTCTCCAGTAAAAGATATTTGCATCTGTTGGTAAACATGATGCTGTCAACCCGAACTCAGGAAGAAAACACCAATAGTTTTCTTAGAAAGGTTGAGAGAGGCTCTCATTAAATACACAGCTATCTCCCCCGGTTCTCCCAAGGCCAAAATCACTCTTAAAGACCCAATCAGCCCCAGATATTCAGAAAAAACTGCAAAAGTTGGCTCTTGGCCCTGAAGGGACCCTAGAAGAGCTCTAATGAGCTGCCAGTGGGTCTTCTACAATCAGGACCAAGAGGAGAGTAAGGGAGAGAAGCTAAAGAGGAAGTCTGAGCCTTTGGTTGCAACCTTGCATGCCACTGCCAGCTTGGCCTCCCAAGGCTCTGGCACCAAATGCAATCTCTGTGGCCGCCCGGGACGTTGGAAGTGAGAATGCCCCCAGTGGCATAAACCAAGGGCCTGTAACCCTTGTCCTACTTGTGGAGGGGGACACTGGAAATCTGAATGCCCTTGGGGACCTCAACCTGCAAGAGCTCAGGTGGCCAGTGCCCCTGATTGGGACTGATGGGACCTGATGGAGCCTGGGGCTCTACATGGTGGCTTCTCCAAAGTAGCTCACCATAGTAACCCAGAGCCTCAGGTAATTTTGGAAATAGAAGGAAAACCAGTCGATTTCCTTCTTGATGCTGGAGCTACTTTTTCTATTCTACTCTCCGCCCCGGGCCAACTGTCCAACCGCAGCGTTGTCATTAAGGGCGTCACTGGGTGACCCATAGCCAAATTCTTTTCTCACCTTCTGGGATGCACCTGGGGAGATCTAATTTTCTCGCACTCTTAATACCCGAGAGCCCCACACTTCTCTTAGGTAGAGATATTAACTCTCATATTGATAGCCCCTGGGAAAACTAACAATTGCCTCCCTTTAATAGAGGCTAATATTAATTCCCAGGTCTGGGCAACTCAGGCTGATGTGGGTCGGACCTTAACAGCAGTGCCGCTTCCCGTACACCTTAAGGACCCCACAACTTTCCCTTGTCGGAGAAGTTTTTTGGGTATAACAGGACACTGTCGCTCACGGATACCAGGATAAGGAGAAACAGCATGCCTCCTCTATCGGTTGACCAAGGACACCCAGACAGCTGGTACCCATCTATTAATGTGGGATCCAGAGTTAGAAAAAGCTTTTACAAATCTCAAGAGGGCCTTGCTCAGTGCCCCAGCTTTAAAGGGAATGGCCTTGGGTGTCAGGGAGTTAGCTCAAAAGCAAATGGGATATTTAAGCAAAGAGTTGGATCTGCTGGCTTATGGCTGGCTGGCATGCCTTAAGGGCAGCAGTGGCTGCCCACTCTTGATTCCCGAAGCTACCAAGTACTTGTTAGAGCCTGTCTGGGAAGGCCCGCATACTGTGATTTTAGCCACTCCAACAGCAACGTGCCTGAATTTGAAGCCTGAATCCACCATTCCAGAGTCAAACCCTGGTCCCCAAGAGGGCCTAAAAACAATCTGTCTGTGAACCCAGGGAAGACCTCAAATTAGGCTTGAAGCGACAAGACACAGATAATGTTACTCTCCCTACATAATCTCTCTCTCCCCGAACCCCTGGCTGTACTCGGTCTTGCACTGTGCTTTGGGCCTTGCCTCTTAAATGCCCTAACCCGATTTATAAGGAGCCTCACATGGAGCCTCATATCTACAGGGGACCCCTTGATAGATCGGGATGAAAGGAACGCTGACTGCCACTCCATCCAATGCCCCTGACCAGCAGGAAGTAGCTACAATGTGTCATCGCCCTTTTTCCCTAACAGAAGTTAGGGTTACCTCTTCAGAGGGGGGGAATGAGGGGTAGTTGGAAGGCAGGCAGGCAGGGACAAGTTCCCCCCACCCCAAGAGGAAACCACCCTTAAAAAGAGTTTACACCACCCTGGAAGGAGCCCTCCACCCTTTCCCAATGATAGGTGACAAAAACCTGACTGGATGACAGGTACAGGGAGCGTTAATCAGATTAAAACAGCCAGTCTCAAGAAGCCCATAAAAACCCCTAGACTTAGAAACTCTGGTGGCAACCCTCTTGGATCCCCTCCCTCCTTGGGAGCTTTAGTACTATCACTTTGCTATCACTCAATAAACTTCACTTTGTTTCCCACCACTCTTGGTGTGGTCTACCTCTTCCATTCTTTGAAGCAGTGTGACCAAGAACCGTGGGCACCCACAGAGAAAAAAAAACCCTGTAACACTGTGGTACTTGAAAACAGGAGTCATTGTTACAGGTTTAGACACATGTAAGATCCCCTGAAGGTTTTACAGTAAAACACCTTCATAGAACTGATGCAAAAAAAACAGTTATATTTCTGGAGACTTCTTGATCTCAAAAGGCTGCATTCTGAGGTAAAATTACGTGTTCACTGCTATTTCCAGAACTTAGCATGGTAAAGTCTCACCTAGGAAGCAAGAAGTAGAATACCTCAATAATCTGCTTAGGGAAAGAATCCTAGACAAGAAACTCCCTCATCTCCCAACAAAATAATAAAAACAAAAAAAAAACAAAAGGCCAAACAAACCTACAGATGTGAGAAAGAGAATGCAAGCACCTTAAAGAAGTATGAGGGCAACCCTCTCGAGTCCCCTCCCTCTTCAGGAGCTTTGTACTATCATTCAATAAACTCTGCTTTGCTGCGCACCCAAAAAAAAAGATGTGCCTGGGTGGTTCAGCCGGTTAAGCATCTGCCTTCAGCTCAGGTCATGATCCCAGGGTCCTGGGATTGAGCCCCCTCATTGAGTTCCCTGCTCAGTGGGGAGTCTGCCTCCACCACCGCCCTCCCTCCCCCACCCCCCCACTGCCATGGTCTCTTGTGCACACGCCCTCTCTCAAATAAAATCTTAAAAAAAAAAAAAGAGGGTACAAGTTCAAAAGCAGACAGAAAAATTAGCCTTACCCAAGAAGTAGGTCATTTCACATTCAGAGATAGGAACAAAGGAGAAGGAAAATTTAGCCTCTACTCTATTCAGAAACAAATTATGGAAGCCTATGGGAGATGAGTAAGTAGTGATAGTGAAGGGGCAGGAGTGCAACTAGGAGCTTAAGAAGAGTGTAGAAGAATATGACCTCCACCTTTTAACACGATAGCTTCAAAAGCCTCTATGTTCTAAACTCTCAAGTTCTGAGCCATTTCCTATTTTTGCATAAAGAAATTTAACTGGAATTTTTATTGGAATTAGAATAAATGTTTGAAACAATTTGGGAAGGACTGCCATGTTTACAATGTCTTCATATTGATGACTATACAATATATTACTCCATTTAATCAAGTCTTATGTCAATAAAATTTTAGTTTTCTTCATGTAAGTTCTGCATATTTCTACTGAATATTCCTACAGATTTTTATATGGATATTTTGTAATTATTGCTACTCTGAAAGGGTCTTTTCAAATAGTTTATTTTCTAACTGGTTATCGTTGGGAATAGGAAAGACTGATCTTCCATACTCATCTTTATTCAATCATTTTTAAGCTCACTAATTCTACTTGTTTTTCAATAGATTCTTTTGAACAGTATAGGTTTTCAATCACATTATTTTCAAGTTATTCCTTCCTTAAAACAAAAATTAGAAATTCCATTTATATAAAAACACTTGTGAACCAATAATAAGTTTTATTTACCTGTAGGTACTTTCAAGTTGTGTATCCAGGAAGGTGTTCTGAAAGTAAAATGTCACACATTCTCCTGCTGGAGGTTTTTCAGGAACTTCAGGCAGGCAAAAAACCACCCAGGAGTGAACTTCAGCAAAACTGAATTGGCCCGTTAAAGTCAGTGTATTCATGGGTCTGAAATTTAATGGCAGAGGTACAGATTTGTGTGTGGGAATACGTGGAGGTAATTTATGAACAAACAGAATTCTGCAATAGTGTTTAAACAAATATAAAAGTATCCATTTAATTTTCCTCAGATTAATATTAACCATCAGATAACTAAAAATTTCAATTTCATGGGAAAAAGAATGCTTATATCTGTGCTTTTAATATTCAATTAAGTAACATAATAGCTTTACAAATAAAATTCAGTTTATCCAGGTAGACTTCATTTTTTAAAAGTTCATCTATATAAACTATAAAACATACTTACACAAGAATTTCCTGAGGGAAAGAATCAGCATAATGTGAAGGCAAAGAATTGGGCTTTCAAGTAAAATAGACATGGAACTGAATGAAACCTTGCTCCATTATTTACCAGCTGTTTACTAACTCTGAGCCATTGGGCAAGTTGGAGAAAAATACCTGCTATCTTGCGGGGATATGGAATAATGCTTTCTATTTTGCAAAATCACACATAGACATATGCACATATACACAAAAGGCTGTAAAATAAATAAATTTAAATAAATCAAATGGATAATTATAAACAGTTAAGAAAATGCAAAGTTTAAGGGATTAAAGATTCAGAGGAATTTTAAGAAGATACAGAATTAAGAAGGGACTTTTGAGATCATCCTGACCAACCCTCTCATTTGTAGATAAGAAAACTAAAACCCAGAGAGATTAAGTGCTTTCCCCAAAGCTAAAGAGGGACATTAGATAAAATACAAGATTAGAATCTTAGTCTCTTGATTCCCAGTTTGCTGTTCTTTCCAGCACACCATGCACGCTACCTCCACTAACAACAACTTAAGACTTCAAAACAGGAAGATACCACAAAGAAAATCTATTCTCTTTAATGTTTTCCAAAAATCCAAAAATCTTCCCTATAAATATTTTCCCTTACATCTTATTTAAATTACATATCTTTAAAATTACAAACTGCAATAGAAAAAACATGGGCTTTGGCCTCCAATCAAGTTTCCTGTCAGCAAGTTACTTTTCCAAGCCTCCACTTCTCATTTGTGAAATGGAGACATAACTACCTGTCTTGCTTGCTGTCAAACTTAAATGATAACGCCTATGCACCTAGCACAACGTACAGCAGAGGGGAAAGTATTCAGTAATTATTACTTCTTTCCCTTCTTCATTTAAGCCCATGGCCTCTCATCTTTAGGAAAGAAAGTGAAAAACTACCAACAGGAGGATGCTTAAGTTGGAATGGAAGTCAGAAATAAGGGACTATCACAACCAATTGCTTTACCAGTATTCCCTGAAGTGAAATAGAAAGCAAATATAATGTTTGAGGCTAATATTATAAGATCCTATTCACAGAAAAACTCATGCTAAATCCTATTTATTCATCATAGGTGTTTGGGAGAGAGAACTATTACTCTACTGATATCAGAATGGTAATATATGGGAAAGATAGGAAAGTTCAACTCAAACCAACCATTAAAAGAAGACAAATTTTATATTAAAAATATGAATCGTATCATACTATTTAATTTTTAAAATGTATAAATAGCTACCAGAATTTATACTATTAAAATCAAAAGCAAGTTTATTTGCATCACGTAATATCCTAAAAAATAAATTCCTTCCTCCTTTGTCCTACCTGTCATGATCAATAAAGTGAGTTCTTTGATGGAGTGAAAGGGGTTTGATAAGGTATTGGCGGACCTGACAGGTTTTAGGTTGAATCCTTGGAGTCACATATGCTTGAAGTGTGCCATACTGGCCTTCAATTGAACGAATCTGATTTAACACAAAAGAGAAAAGAAAATAAAAATAATCTAGCAGCATAACATAAATGTTATCTTTAAAATGTTCAACACAAGTAATCAAGTAATTAGACTTTACTCTCTTCTGTAATATTCTGAAGTAAATGACATTCTATTAGACAACTACTTTTTACCTAGAGTAAAGAAAAATTTAAAAAGATTTTGGCTGTCAAAAGCAAACTTTATCTATAAAAGTTATCCCCACCACATAGATTTAGGTGATTTGTCTACACTTAGCTGTGCTATGCCATTCCAAAAAACACACATTCTCACATACTACCCACCACATCTAAAAACACAGGTGTATATTTCATAAGATTCACATAAAAAATGGTTAAAATTTAGACATTTTTGCTGAGGGGATAAGTGAGTTTTTCAAAGAACTAAAACTTAAATGGAATACTTCATTTCTCATGAGGATATTACAGCATACAGTTATTGTTATAAAAAATCAATTGACAGAGGGGTGCCTGGGTGGTTCACTTGGTTAAGCGTCTGCCTTCGTCTCAGGTCATGATCTCAGGGTTCTGGGATTGAGCCCCGTATTGGGCTCCCTGCTCAGCGAGGAGTCTGCTTCTTCCTCTGTCCCTCCTATGCTCTGCTCTCTCTCTCAAATAAATAAAATCTTAAAAAAAAAATCTATTGACAGAAAAAATGTTACCGAGAACTTAATTCTTGATTTTCTATGAAAATAGAGAAGTATACACCATCTAATTATTACATATTTGGATTAGGAAATTCTTTTGCGCTATTTTAAATATACCCAGTTGGATATCCTGAGAATTCAAAACACTTAACAGAAAATAATAATTCATTAAACTGTGAAGAACTGATTTTAGAGGAGTTGGAAAGTTGTCCAGCTTCTCCCTCCTGGCCCATTTTCCGCTCCTCTCAGTTTGAATTCATGAGATGGATTGTAGTACCTCTTGTATTACAATGGTAGCTTCTCTAAACTAGCTGATATTTTAATTCATACTTTTCTTAGCATGTTGCGGGCGGGGGGGAATCAATGTTTTACCTAAATGGGAAACATAAATAAAAGTTTAAAGCAAGGTTTTCTGCAGATGTTACACTTCCAATATTGCTCTAAATGGAAAGAGGAAAGATAAAAATAAAAAATACATCTGATACAGCTATATTTTAGGGTTTCTTTTTAAAAGGTAAGTTTACACTGGCACATAATTTTTTCCAGAATAAAAAGTCATACTGCTTTCTTTGATTATATAACAATTCATATTCATTATTAAAAAATATAAAGAAAAATTAGGATGAACATATAAGTCACCTAAAATCCTGCCACCCCGAGATGATCATTAGTGCTATTTTGGTAGTTATGCCTTCATACATTTCTCTATGCACACGTACAAAAACAAAAGCATAATTTCATATGAATAAATTCTATTTATATCATAGATATCTTTGTTTTTATTTCTAATAATCACTTTTTTCCTTTATCTTTGCCTCTCCTAATGCCATCACCTCCTACCCACTCCCATCCCACTCATGCTTTCCCCCTACTGCATAATCTATCATACCAGACAGGTGTGTTTCTTTTCATATCTTTCTTATATATATAGGGATTTTATCTACATTTTGTTTTTCATGGGATTCACTCCATGTTAACAGGAATAGATCAATGAATTCTTAATTGCAGCTGTGCTATATTCCATGGAATGTATAAACAGCTATTTATTCAACCATTCAATTATTAAATATTCACTTTGGTTCCACTTTTCTGCCTCTACAAACAATGCTGCAGTTAAATACATATCTGTGTGTATAATACTGTGATTTTATTGCTATAAAATAGATTCCTCCAAATGGGACTGTTGCTTATTTTTCCGAAGTGGCTATTACAATTTTTATTTTCTTCAGCTACAACTGAGAATGTCCTTTTTCTCAACCCTGCCATCTAGTGATGTTGCTTTTTAAAATTTTTTGCCAACCTGTTAGATCCAGAAAATCTATTTTGTTTATTTTAATTTGAATTTCCCTAACTAATAATAAGATAGAACATTTTTAAAAAATATTTGTTAGCTCTTTTGACTCCTTGTGTGAACTGTCTATCCATATTCTTTGCCTATTTTCCTTACTGGGTAGTCTTTTTTTTTTTTTTTTAACAAGTTATAGGCAGTCTTTGTATTTTATTGATATTCACCCATTACCTAGAAGACAACTAAATTTCCTTCTTTTTAAAAATAATTAGGTACTTAACTCATCTGAATTTATTTTTTATATATGGCATTAAGATAAGAATCCACTTAATTTTCTTTCAGATAGATGCCAGTTATGTCAACACCAATTTTTAAATAGACATCGTAATTTAATAGAATTTTTTTTTTTTAAGATTTTATTTACTTGACAGAGAGAGACACAGCGAGAGAGGGAACACAAGCAGGGGCAGAGGGAGAGGGAGAAGCAGGCTTCCCGCTGAGCAGGGAGCCCGATGTGGGGCTCGATCCCAGGACCCTGGGATCATGACCTGAGTCAAAGGCAGACGCTTAATGACTGAGCCACCCAGGCGCCCCAGTAGAATTTTTTTCTACATAAAAATGCCATCCATTAAATTTCCATAAATGTGTAGTGGGCTCTATTTCTAGAGTATTCTGTTGCACTGCCTATTTACTTAGGCCTTGTAAATACCCTACATTATTTTTATTATAGTAGTTTTATGGTACGTTTTACCATATGGCAAGATAAGTTCCACCTTTTTCTTCTTTTTCAGTAGTTTTCTCGCATCTATTATTGCATCCAATTTTAAAAAAAGAACACAGCTTTTTAATATTTTTAGGTCTACTTCCCAATTTATTGGCACAGTCTTGTTCAGTGGAACTGTAATTTAAAATGCTTAATTAAGTTACATAAAATATGTTTAAGTATATTCCTTTAGAAAAAAAATTTATTCCAGTTTTCAATTTTTCTTTCAAAATACACAAAAGGGAACTTATGCAGACTTAAATAAATTGTTTAGAAAAAAACCTACATTTAACTGGAATTTCCTTAACTAGATGTGAAAAAGTTATTATGTTAACAGCATCTCTCTTGAAAGAAACAGGCTTTGAGTCTGAACATCAGGAACACTATGAAAAAAGTTATAGTCCCTAATAACCTCACACAAATTAAGTAACTAAAACAGATTTGGGGTGCCTGGGTGGCTCAGTTGGTTAAGCGACTGCCTTCGGCTCAGGTCATGATCCTGGAGTCCCAGGATCGAGTCCCGCATCGGGCTCCCTGCTCAGCAGGGAGTCTGCTTCTCCCTCTAACCCTCCCCCCTCTCATGTGCTCTCTCTCTCTCAAATAAATAAATAAAATCTTTAAAAAAATAAATAAATAAAACAGATTTGTGTGATATAATTAGTATTTAATTTAAGGGAGATCACATTACTAAATTGCTAAAGAAAACATTAAAAAATTTTCTCTAGAATAGATGATAATAAATGACATTATTGGAAATCCGAGTGGTAGGAAAATATAGGGCAAATGCTCAGATACTTCAATAACCAAATTATGGACAATGACTGGATCAAACGAACTGTAGAAACAAATCAGTGAAATCTAAATACTAAATATTTGATGATACTAAGGAGTTATTGTTAATTTTCCTTAGGTGTGATAATAGTATTGTGGTTATGTTTTAACAAACAGTTCTTATCTTTTGGATATATGTACAGAAATATTTACAAATGAAATTATAAAATATCTTATACTTGCTTCAAAATAATTTGGAATGGACAGTGACAGTATAAACAAGAATGCCATGAGTTGGTGACTGTTGAAGCTGAAGTCATTACCTTTACGTAGGTTTGAAACTTTCCATAATAGAGGATTAGAAAAAAAAATTCCACTTAGAGGAAATTCAGGATGGATAATTTTAGAGAAGCCAATAGCAGACATAATGGTTGGGGCTGAGTTAAAACCTCACTGGTCATCCAAAAATCATTACTCCAAATGACTCATTTCAGGGAGAAAATAATACAAAGAAATGATATCGTATGTTGTAAGATATGCCAAGGGGAAGAAAAGTTCAAGCTTTCAATTAAAGGTAATTTCAAATGTTTTTACCTTGAGTTCCAGCCTTGTAGTATTTGCCTGGCACCGATAAGTAGCGAGAAGAAAGTTGTCATTTGACTGGGAAGAATTCAAAGTTGAAGAAAAAGGATGAATTCACATTTTTAATAATAAAAACATCAATAATAATAATGCTTACCATTTACTAAGCACATATCATTTGGGTGACACTGTGATGTGCTTTTTTTATTCTTGCAAACAACCCTATGTGAAGTTTTACTAAGTAAGTTTTAACAGACAAGAAACTGCAGCATTACAGGTTAGGAAAATTTCCCAAAAGCTAGTAAGTAATGAAATTGGAATTCAAATTCATATCTTTTAAGATTCTAAAGCTCGGGCACCTGGGTGGCTCAGTCGGTTAAGCGACTGCCTTCGGCTCAGGTCATGATCCTGGAGTCCCGGGATCGAGTCCCGCATCGGGCTCCCTGCTCAGCGGGGAGTCTGCTTCTCCCTCTGACCCTCCTCCCTCTCGTGCTCTCTGTTTCTCATTCTCTCTCGCAAATAAATAAATAAAATCTTAAAAAAAAAAAAAAAAGATTCTAAAGCTCACGCTCTTTCATCCTGAGCTTCTACAATAACATTTAAATATTAATTGTCCTAAAAATTTAATTGACAGCACACACTCCTAATGTTTATATTAAAAGACAAAAACATCAGTGTTTGGTGTTGACTGTCTTTGACTTTCACAAATACTTTTAGAGGACTAAGAAATATCTCCTCTCTGTATTTCCAGCAAATAGCACAGTGTCTGGGATGATACTGTAAGCATTCAATACATGCTTGTTGAATTGAAGTGGAGAGGTTACTTCAAATATTATAACTTCCTGAACCTGAATATTAAACTACTAAAAATAGAGAAATATATCTGTGTGCAGGAATTGCAAAAACAAATCAACTTGAAATATTTAGTATTTAGTGTTCATGTACTGCTATTTCCCTTTTTAATAAATAACTGAAGAAATAAAAAAGATATCAAAAAGAAAATTTGAGCATTTTAATTTCAAATCATTTAAATTTAATAAACACAGAATATCAGTTAACCTAAAAATAAATATGCTTTCATGTGATTAAAAACAAATGTTATATACTTAAGCATTTATGGATAGGATGATAAAGATTAAAATACATGAAAGTTCTGGGATTAGGTCTGGGATAGGAGAAGGAGAAGAGCATAAAACAAGACTGGTCATATGTTGAAGTTAATGATGAGTACATGGAGGTTATTATACTACTGTTTCTACTTCTATATATACTTGAAATCTCCATAACAAGGTGGTTTTAAAGCCATCATTCTAGAAAATGGATTTTAAATTAATATAAAATACTCATTTCAAAGAATCCTGCAGTGATGTAAATAAAATAGTTTAATCTTTCACAGCAACTAAGAAATTAAAATTTTAAGATCAACTTGATATTTTAAATGAAAATTAAAATGTAGGACCTAATCTTTGTTTTATTCTCAAGCAGGGATGACAAATCATATATATTACATAATACAACTTAAAAACCTCTTATCAAAAAAAGTTTTACTATAAAATTATATTGAAAACTATTCCCTAATATAGCTATCAACTTTGTTCTTCATCTATTCTTTTCATTCCTCCCTTTTTATGTGTATAACTACCTGCCAACTCTAGTCACCACCTCCTGCTCTGGCTTGCCTTCTTCAATACAACTACTCCAGACCTTATCTTTACCCTAACTTCTCTTCAGGAGCCACACTTAGCTCCGAGAATGCTAGTCAGCTAGTACTAAGCAGAAAGAAGTGATATAGTAAAGCATATCCAAAACCTCTGACACATTCTCATCCAAGGTACTTTGCACATGGTAAGTACTCAACAAATGTCTACTAAATAAAGGTTAAGCAAGATTCAACAAGCCCAGAAAAGGTGAAAAAGAACAGGCAGAAGGAACAGACCATGTTCAAATGTAGGATGTGTGAAACTATATAGCATTTTCAAGAAATTTTAAGAACTTCAGTTTGGCAGAAATAATGTGCATGGGAGGGAAGGTAGCAGCTGGTAAGAGATAAGCTAGAGATATAATCAAGAGCTGAATCATAGAAAGTTGTTATGCCACAATGAGAAATCTAGACTTATATGCAGCAGGGAATAAGGAATCTTTAAAAGGTTTTGAGAGAAGAAATGACAGAGAGATGTTTATACTTTAGGAAGACCTCTCTGGTGGCAGTGTTCAGCAGAGCCTAGAGGTGAGAGGCAATACTGGAGGCAAAAAAACTGGTGACGAGTAGTTCAAGCAAACATGATAAGGGCCTGGAAAGTTAACAGAAGTGGAAATGAAGGGGCACCTGGGTGGCTCAGTCCATTAAGAGTCTGCCTTCAGCTCACGTCATGATCTCGGGGTCCTGGGATGGGCCCTGAATTGTCGGGCTCTCTGCTCAGCAGGGAGTCTTTGCTTCTCCCTCTCCCTCTATCCCTTCCCTTGCTTATGCTGTCTCTCTCTCTCTCAAGTAAATAAATAAAATCTTCAACAATAATAAAAATAAAATTAAAAAAAAAAAGGAGAAATGAAGCAGAGGAAAGATATAATAGCCAAGGAGATAGAACTGGCAGAAACTAGTGACTAATTGGATTTAACAGATCAGAGAAAGGAAGGAATCTAGGATAACACCCCAGGTTTCTGAATTATCCAAAAACAGGGAAAAAGAGCAGAAGCAGATTTTCAGGGAAAGGTTATGAAAAAGAGATAGAAGAAGAAACATCAAACCCTAGTAGCATTCATAGACTTTATTCAAAATGGCATAATAGAAAAAGTATCTGAAAAGTTGTTTATACTTTGTACTCACCTCAGAATCACAGCTGCTAAAGCTGACAACAGCAGAATTTTTATCCACATCAAGTAAGTCTATTGGAACATCACTCTAAAGGTAATATTTAAAAAAAAAATGGTTCAGATGGAAAACTAAAAATTTTCACAAAACATTATTTTCTCTTAAAGATTTTATTTATTTGAGAGAGAAAGAGAGAGAGAGCATGAGAGCAGGGTGAGGGGCAGAGGGAGAGGGAGAAGCAGGCTCCCCGCTGAGCAAGGAGCCCAATGCAGGACTCAATCCCAGGACCCTGTGATCATGACCTGAGACAAAAGCAGACAATTAACCGACTGAGCCACTCAGGCACCCAACAAAACATTTTCTCTAAGGGTTCTCTTTAGTTCTAGGTCACATTCATCTTTAAATTTGAACATATGAATTCTCAATTTATATTTGATAACATGTACTACTAGAAAATAAATGCAATAAAGAATAAATGTTATATCACAATGACATATTTTTTTTCAAATTTTATCAGAGATCACAGACTGTCATCTCTCACCACCCCCCTTAAATTATAATCTTCCTAATATGGCCATTCTGATTATATCAGTTCATTTCTATCAATTTTATTTTCACCTGTAACACAGAAAGGAGATAATTTTTCTCTCCTGGAGAGGTAGTTTCTAGGACACAGCTGTTGCAGCCAGTTCTATGTAAATGATGCTCCTAGAGTTATTAAATGCAGCTCTTTTTTTTTTATTATGTTATGTTAATCACCATACATTACATCATTAGTTTTTGATGTAGTGTTCCATGATTCATTGTTTGCGTTAACACCCAGTGCTCCATGCAGAACGTGCCCTCCTTAATACCCATCACTGGGCTAACTCTTCTCCCCACCCCCCTCCCCTCTAGAACCCTCAGTTTGTTTCTCAGAGTCCACAGTCTCTCATGGTTCGTCTCCCCCTCCGGTTTCCCCCCCTTCATTTTTCCGTTCCTATTATCTTTTCTTTTTTTTAACATATAATGTATTATTTGTTTCAGAGGTACAGGTCTGTGATTCATCAGCCTTACACAATTCACAGCGCTCACCATAGCACATACCCTCCCCAATGTCTATCACTCAGCCACCCCATCCCTCCCACCCCCACCACTGCAGCAACCATCAATTTGTTTCCTGAGATTAAGAATTCCTCATATCAGTGAGATCATATGATACATGTCTTTCTCTGATTGACTTATTTCGCTCAGCATAACACCCTCCAGTTCCATCCACGTCGTTGCAAATGGCAAGATCTCATTCCTTTTGATGGCTGCATAATATTCCATTGTATATATATATCATTTCTTTTTTATCCATTCATGTGTTGACGGACATCATGGCTCTTTCCATAGTTTGGCTATTGTGGACATTGCTGCTATAAACATCAGGTGCACGTACCCTTTGGATCACTACATTTGTTATCTTTGGGGTAAATACCCAGTAGTGCAATTGCTGGGTCATAGGGTAGCTCTATTTTGAACATTTTGAGGAACCTCCATACTCTTTTCCAGAGTCACTGCACCAGCTTGCATTCCCACCAACACTGTAGGAGGGTTTCCCTTTATCCACATCCCTGCCAGCATCTGTCGTTTCCTGACTTGTTAATTTTAGCCATTCTGACTGGTGTGAGGTGGTATCTCATTGAGGTTTTGATTTGGATTTCCCTGAAGCCGAGCGAT